CAGGAGCAGCAACAGGAGCAGCAACAGGAGCAGCAACAGGAGCAGCAACAGGAGCAGCAACAGGAGCAGCAACAGGAGCAGCAGCAGCAGCAGCAGCAGCAGGAGTCGTCATCCCTGGAGGAGCCCCCCTCGCCGGAGCACCTGACCATCTTCTCCCTGAGGCTGGCCACTCTGTGCTCCTGGATGGATCTCTACTCGGTCCTGGCCGGGCGCCAGTTGGCCCTCCTCAGCCACACCCAGCCCAAGGAGGCCATCAGCCTGCTTCACAATGTGCCTCTTCGTGGCACAAACCACGTCGTGTTCTCCTCCCACTCGATGGTGGCGAATGTGCTGTATGACATCCTGACCAAGACCACCCTCTAGGCTGGGTGGGGCCTGGCCCGGCTCCCGGCCTCGGCGAGATGCCCTCTCGCTCCAACTACACCGATCCGTGCATGTGCATGTGTGTACCTTCTGTCTGGCAGGTAGGCAGGGGCAGGGGGGGGGGGCGGGGGGGAGGGGTATCCTTCAATTGTAACAGGCGGCCCCCTTCGCAAAGATTCCCTCTTCGGGGCGGGGGAGCTACCATTCTACCGGGGGAAATTTCATGCAGTCCTTCTCGTCGGGGACAGGGCGGGGGAGGGCTTTTCGCATGGGTGCAGCTTGGTGGATGGGCCCCGGTGGGTTTTTCCGGCTTGGCCCTCCTTTCGGCCATCCTCAACGACAGCAGGGGCCCCTCACTCCTGCAGGGGCCCGTTCCCTCGGGGACACTCATCCGCGATGGTGAGCGCCATCCCTTGTCCCAGTGCCAAAAGGGCGCCCATGCTCGGGAAACGCCCATGCCCTCCATGCTTCCCCCGGCGACCGGTCCTGGGCCTTTTCCCGCCGCCGAAACCGACCGCCGCCCTCTCTTGGGGCCACGCCACCGGAGTCGGCCGGCGGCAGCGGACCCCGGGATGGCCCACTCCACAGGCAGGCAAGTCGGTACCCTGTGGGGGCTGGCCACCGACTGGCGAGGCGCGGAGGGCGGGCCTCGGGTGAATCCTCCCGGCCGTCCCCCCCGAAGAGGGACACACTGCGACATCGCCGCCGCGGCACGCCCCCGGGCCCGGACCTTTTCCCTCGCCTGCCCATGTGGCTGTGGGTCATTGTCTCTCCCGGTCGGCGATCTCGAGGCCTCGGCGAAGAGGCCCGCCTTTGGCCCGGGTCGAATGCCCTCCCACGCGGAGGACATGCCCATTGAGGATGGGCACGCGCACAGGGGACGACCGGCCTTGGGTGGGGCAGATCGCCCGGCGCGGCCGGCCGCCCGGCGCCCCACCCCCCGATGGCCCCGGGACTCGGGAGAGCCAGAGGAGCCGGAATCCCGGCTGCCCGGCCCGTGCGCGCCCGAAACGCCAACCACACAATGCAGCGCGGCCCCTCGCGGCCAACACCCTGCCAGGAGAGCGCACCCGGGCCGCAGCATCACCGATCGGCGGCCAGCCCCCGTAGGGCGGGCGGGCGGGCGCACAGACAGTCCGCCACGCGAACGCCAGGACCCGGCCCCCTCCGAAGGGCCAGCGCGGGGGCGACCGAGAGCAAGCACCGCAAATGCCAACGCACTGTCGAGCTGGAATTCCCATCCCCGCCTGGGAGCTTCTTTGGCACGCGACATGCGGCTCTCTCGGCGCGCACGAGGACCCGGGGGGATGTATGACCATGAGTGCTCGTCAGGGGATATCCCCATCCGCAGCCGCACAAGCCAACTTGGTGCGGGGCTGGGTTGTTTTTGCCGTCGTGAGCCGCCCTCCTCGCCGGATGAGACAGCCGCCGCTGTGAGAATCCGCCCAGCGGCCGGAGGCCTCGCGCATGCTTCGGCGCCGGCGGCCACAGACCTCCCCACCGGCGCATTCTTCCGCCCCCCTCCCCCGCCTCTCGGCCCTGCTCATCGGACCGCGGTATTGGCGGGACTTTCCCCCTTCGGTATCATGACGTGGCACAGCCAACTGCCAGCTCGCGCCGGGGCCCGCGCATCGGGCCCTGGGGGCCGTTCCGCCCAGCGGCCAGGTCTCCAGCCTAGCTCCGTCCTGGCGGCCGGACCCGGGCAGGGGGCGGGGGGGGGGGGGGGAGTCCCCTCCAAAGAGGCGTGCCCAATGGGCCGGTTGATGGCCGGCCCCGGCCGGTGGTCACCGCACGGTGGGCCTTCACACGGCAGGACCAAACGCGCCCTCCGCCATCTTCGGGTGGGCCTTTGTCTGATGTCCACCTTCCTCGTTGAGACCCTCGCCGAGGCAACGCGCATTGATGGCGGGAAAAAGAACATCCGGCATGGCCCGCCGCCCCCCCCCCCCCCCCGCCCTCCAGAGGGGAAACAAGGTAACCTGCGGGGGATACCTCCGCGCTCCGAGATCGAAGCTCCCTGAACATCAGCCGAAATCCTCATCAATGGCGAGAGAGAAAGAGAGACACCTGTGATCCTCTGCCTGTGAATAGCCCCCGGAAGTCGAGCATCCATGAGTGCAGTATCCCCCGGGAAAAGTACCCCCCCCCCCCTGAGCACCCTCCGGACGATTGATCGCCACGGCCAATACTACCCAGCGACATGCATATTTCGGAGGCGAAGGCGGGTGCTTTTTTTTTTGGGCAAAGGCCCGCCATGCTTACTCACACCCACTCACACACACTCACACTCACACACACTCACACACACACACACACACACACACACACACACAAGAGCACACCCATCTCGTTTGTACAGTACCTCCCCTCCCGCTCCTGGGGTCCGATTGCTCTTCCCCCTTGCTCTTTGGTTCGCCTGCCCCGGACATCTTCACTCCGCAGCCTGTGATACCAACAGCCATGGGCGTTCTGAACTTGGTCGATCTTTTGACAAAAAGGGCTCAACGTTCGACAGTCCCCCACCATCGTCCCATGCCCTCCGACGCCAAGCCCTACGTCCTGCCGATTGATTTGAACAACTTTCTCAACGAGATGATCCGAAGCAACTTCCTCTATCACAAACAGACTCGAAGCATCGGCTACACTCCCCGGCTCATTGGTCCCTATCTGGATGCGCTTATCATGTGGCTGCATACACAGGCCGTACGCCCAACCACCCTGGTGTCGCCTCTCCTCCTTCCCTCCCCTGCCTTTCCCCCGCGCGCACGCACAGACACACACACACACACACACACACACACATGCATGCATGCATGCATACACCAACGCCTAACCCATCTCCATGCTCTTGGGGACTTTGGCCGGCCCTTTCACCCAGGTGTACCCCATCTTCGTGGCCGACGGCCCGAAGGCACCAGAGAAGGAGGCCACCTCGGAAATGCGCTTCAAGAGCAAGGTCGGCAAGCTTCGGCCCAGACAACTGTCCTACCTTTCGGTGTATCAGGATGCCACCCGGGGCGGCCCGTCCACCGGCTCCGCCAATGCCGGCCCCAATGCCCCTCGACCCCGGCGGGTTGACCAGGACCACATCGATCGGCACTTGCGTGGCACGCAGCATCTGCCGACCTGCCACCCGAGGACCCTGGTACCCACCCACAACGGCTGCACCAAGGAACGCTGCATGATTGGTTGCCAAATTTGCTGCTTCAAAAGCCGGCGGTCCAATCCCTGGAAACACGCTGTGGACATGGCGAACGATCCATTCACCTGCAGCGTGGACTTGGCAAATGTCTGGGCAATCACCCAGGGGCATCTGTTGGCCCGGGCACGCCAGGCCCCCCTCCGTCTGGCTTTCATCGGGTCCTTCACCGAGGCCGATGACATTCTCGTGCTCTTGAGCCTGCACTTCCGGGTGCCTGTACTCAGGTACGCCGGCTGGCCGGTGCCAAGGATGTGCCCCAGCACAAGGGGGCTCTGCCTCTCTGACCGGTTCTCGTCTTTCCTCTTCCATTGGCCAGCAATGACTCGGACTTCTTTGTCCATGGGTATGGGCAGACACGGGTGTCTTCCCTTTTCCAGAGCCAATTCCTCCTGTCCGGCAATTCCCCCGGGACCGGGCCATCCTTCAGGACCTCCGGCCAGCGCTTCGAGCCGAAAACCCTCCTTACCTCGGACATGGCGGCCTTCTTCCAAACCACCGGTGCGTCGTCCTTGTGACCGGCCTCTGCCCGGCCGTCAGGGCCTTGCTCATGTGCCTGACATCGGCCATCGGCCAAAATCGCGCCCAAGTGACGAAGCTCTGCTGGCTGCCGCTCATTCTTGGCTCGGATCTCGGGCCGCCGGATTGGCGGATCCGCAAGTTCATCGAAAGCGACACGCAGTTCGCCCCCTTGGCCAACTCCCTGAGGTCATATTTCAACTGCGTCGACAAGTGCTTCCAGGATGTTCGCCAGCCCCACGTCCCGGGGCAGGCCCCCGCCATCAAAGACAACTGGCGTGAGACCATTCTCAACTCCGGCTTGGACATCGACCAGATCATCCGCCTGTTGGGGTCCCTTCCGGAGCCCGATGCCTTGGAGGCCGTGGACTCGGCCGGCGCCCGGCGGAGCTTGCCCTTCTTCCGGTCGGGCATCGCGCCCTCCCGATCCCGGTCCCTGTCGCACCTGGTGCCCGCCCTGCAGGACCTCCGCCGTTGCAGCGGCCCGGGGGTCCTGCTGCTTCGTGCCAAATACCGCGAGGAGCTTGCCGGCAGGCAGCCCTCCCAGGAACCGATCAACCCCTTGCACAAGGTGAAGTCCCTTCGCGACGGGGTGCTCCTTTGCCTGGGGATTTCCACCGCCGGCCTGTGCACTCCCGACAGCGTGGTCCTTTCGTCCTTCAGCAAGGAGCTCGAGGACTTCCTGCATGCTGACAGCTCTTTCGACAAATCCAACCTCTGGTGCCTCTCCTCGGAGCGTGCTCCGCCGCGGCTCCCTCGCGCAGACGATGCAGCCGGCGGGCTCGCCGAGGACGCTCCGGTCGGGCCGCCTCCGGCCGTCGCCTCGAATGCCAGCAACGGCCGGCGCCCCGGCGGCCGGGCGGCTGCTCCTGCCGGTGGCGGCGCATCGGGCGCCGAGGCCAGCACCGCAAGCGCCGGCCCGCCCCAACCACCCGCCCATAGGGCCAAGTGCCGCTGCCGCGAGGCGCCTTACCTGTCGATTCCGCTTCTTCATGAGGGGCTCTACTTGCCGCTCACCGTGCAGGCCTTCTTCATCTCGCGCGTGGGCTCGACCGCGGCTCCCGGCTTGACGGTGGCCGATGTGTTTTTGGCCAAATTGGACGATGCCGATGGCTACCGGGCTGCCTCCTTGCCCCTGCTGCCGCAGTTCAGCCTCAGGGACGATTTGAGTGTTTGGGCGCCATCCTGGCCCATTCGCTTCCTGCTGTATGCCCTGCTGTCCCACGGCAAGGAAGGCCTCCAGGGCCCGGCCGTGAGGAAGGTCATCGAATTTTACGACCCGCCGGTCCGACTCGACGGTCAGAAGGTCCTCCCCTCTACCAAGAAGAGCCAAGACTATCTGCTGAAGGGGCTGTCCGGTGAAATTGTGCCCCTCCTTCGGGCCGTCGATGTGGCCTTGGCCGATGATGCCCCGGGCTCATCGCTGGCCCTCGACCGGATCCTGCTGACAGCCGTCCTGCTGTCGAGCCGCCCCTCTCGAGCCGCCCCGGGCGAGCAACTGTTCGACACCCAATCCCGGACCATCCTCCTCCGGCACATGGCTCTCCTGGTGAATGCCCTGCTCCATGGCAAGACCATGGCCCAGGCTGGCAATCACGAGGAAGACCTCGACGCCATTCGCCGGAAGGTTGTCCGCGTGCTGCCCTCCCCCGACCCCGGCACCCCGCCTGCTGCCAATGGCCGGGCCCTTCTGCACGATGTGCTGGCAAGTTGCCTGTCGCCCGTCCCACCAGCACCAAGCCCGCCGCAAGGCCCACCCTCCGGGCAGCTGGATGCCCCCTCGCCGGCCAGGCTCTCGACCTTTTCGTCGGACATCGCCACGGTCAGTTCATGGCTGGATCTCTATTCGGTCCTGGCCGGCCGCCAGCTGCTGTTGGATACGCAGCACGTCCATTCCGAGCGGGATTGCCCTTTCGTGCTTGCTCGGCCGGCTAAGATTGGCGACTACCAGCCCTCCTCTCGCTCAATCATGGTTGCCACCCTGCTTCAGATCCTTGCACAGAGGGGTCTCTGAGAGGGGCCTGCGAAATGCCCAATTGGCCAGGCGTCCCTGCGAAGGGTGACCACACGAGGCGCGGGGGGCGACACGCCCATCCTCCCCTCTCCCTCCCCCCCCTCCCCCCTCTCGCCTCCTGTCTCTCAAGCGCAAAGCGCCCCCTCCTCTTGCCAATACAAATGTCACAAAACGAGTGGCATCCCTTCACAGGTGTATACACCTACCACATCCATCGAGCGGGGGGGGGGGTCTTTTTTTTCTCTCTCTTTTTCCTTCGTTTTTCGGGCGCCCGCTCATTCCTGGACACACTCCGCCGAGCGGGCCACCTTCGAGGCTCAGGCGCAAGAACATATACCACTCCACGCGGGCATCGACGCGGGCCGAAAACAAAGTAGCCCACAATCCCAAATGCCCACGAATGCCCCCCCCTCGCCACCAGGCACCGACTAATCGCGGCGGGTCGGACGCTTTTCACCGAGCCGCCCGATCCGGCTGGCCGCCGGTATGCCTGCGGGACCAATGCCCCACGAGCACCAGATCCCCCTCCCCCCCCCTTTCTTGCCCCATCGTGACCCAGTCCCCCTGTATCTCGTCCTCTTTTCCTCCCTGTCCCTCTCCCCCCCCCCCCGACTCCCACGCTCGCGCGTCTCCTCCGACTCTCCCTCTACCCATTCTCCGGCCTTCTGTTGATCCCCAACCCGATCCTGGCGTCGTTCGTGAGCTATGGGCGTCTTTCGGCTGACTTCTCTCGTGCGCAGCAGTCTGCCCCACCGAGTTGGGACACTCGCGCCGGCTGAAGGGCTCCGCGCCCTGCCAGTCGACGTCGGCAGCCTGGTGTATGTCCTGTCCCGGAGTCACTATGTTTACGCCGGCCAAACTCGAAGCATCGGCTACGATGCGCCGCTGATTGCCCCGTATCTCGACGCCCTCATCGGCTGGCTGAATCATCACCGGGTATGCATTTGCTTTGTGCCCCTGTGACAGCCTCCAGCAGAGATCGCCCCTCACACATGCCTCCCAGTTGTACCCCATCTTTGTGGCCGACGGGGCCGTTGCCCCGGAGAAGGCGGCCACCGCTTTGAGTCGCTTTCGTGACAAGACCCGCGACCTGACCGGGGCCCTTTCTAGCCTGGTGGCCGGCGACGTCACCGGCTTGCGTGTGATCAGGTGTGCTCGACGTCCCACACGACCATGCTCCTCCTTTCTCTCTCCCTCTTCCTCCCTCCCTCGCACCTGTGTGTCTTGGTCTGATTCCCCTTTCGCGCTTTGATTCGCACGGGGACTGGGCGGGCGGCCGGCCGGGCCCGGCAACGGATGCCTCCCCTCAGCGATACCATCGCCTTTCCCAACATCCGTGCGAATGTCCAAGGGTATCTGGCGGCCCAGGCACACGCCCGCCCCGACAGGCTGGCCTTCATTGGGTCCCCCGCCGAGGCCGATGACATCTTGGCCCTGCTGAGTCTCTACTTCAGCACTCCTGTTGTCAGGTGCGCTTGTCAGAGGGAGGGGGGGGGGGGGGGGCCATGGACCGGGCTAGGGAACCCAGGCGCCTGGCACCATGCCCTGTCCTAGGGGCGGGTCTTTTTGTTTCTTTCTCTTTTCTTCCTCTTCCCCTTCGTCGCCCCTCCTGACCTTGCCCCTGGTTGCCCGGGCCCCGGCCGGCGAGCCAGCAATGACTCGGACTTCTTCGTCCATGCCTTTGGCCAGGTGAAGATGTCGTCCCTCTTCCAGAAGCAATTTCGCCTGGAGCGCGACCCGGCTGACCACCGGCCGATCTTCGTCCCGGGTGATGCCTATGACGTGCCGCTCCCCGGCGAAACCCTCCTCACCTCCACGCTGGCCACCATGCTCTCAACAACCGGTAAGTGTCTTCCCTCCACCTGGCACTCGCCTGGACCACGCGCCTTTTGACAAGCCCCCCGCTCATCACAGTCACCAAGCTGGCCTGGCTGCCATTGATCTTGGGCTGCGACTTCGGGCCACCTGACCTACGCCTATGGAGCCTCCTCTTTGATGGGTTCCGATTTGCTCCCAAGTACCAAAATCGCTTGCTGTACTACTATCGCATTGTGCCCGGGTGCTACAAGGACCGCAACTCCTCCTGGCCGGTGGACGGGGCCAATTTCCACCCCTTCTGGCAAACGCTCATGAAGGGGGTGCATATGACCACGGAAATCCTGCGCGTCATACTGCTTAACCTGCCGGAACCGGCGGCATTGGAGGAGTTCCTCCGCCAGCCGGCCAGCCATCTGCCCGGGGTCCGGGCCGAAGTTGTGGCGTCCATGCGCCGGCATCGGGACCAGCTGGGGCCCCTGGTCGAGTATTTGCACCAATGTAGCGGCCCGGGCACCCTGATGCTGAAGGCCAATCGCTTTCAAGCCGCCCTCGGCCAGGGGGCCCCCGCGCCGGTCAGTGTCTCCGGTGTCAAGCCCCTTCACGATGGGATTTTACTTTGCCTCGGGATTTTCAATGCCGGCCTTGACTGCCTCTCCGAAGGTCGCATGCTGAAGTTCGCCACGGATCTCCATGCCTTCCTGTCCAGGGAGCGCCTTCCCATCCTGGCGGAGCCCTGGTGCATTTTTGCCACCCGGCCGCCGCCGAATCTTCCCGCCAGCATAGCCCCCCCTGCCCCGGGATCCGAGGCTGGCTCGGGCCGATGTCGCTGCCGCGAGGCCTTGTACCTGGTGCAGCCGCTGATGCAGCAGTGCTTCCACTTGCCGCTCTTCCACCTGGCCTTCGGCTCGGCTTTTACCGGCGTTCCTGCAGATCTGGCCCTACCAAGTGTGGCAGCCCTACTGGCTGGACACCAACGAAGTGGCCACCAGCTGACCTTCTTCCTGCCGGTCGTACCGCAGTATGCCCTCCAGCCGGGGGCTGGCACTGTTTGGGATCCCACCTGGCCGGTTCGCTTTTTGTCGTATGTCATGCTGGCACGCGGGCCCGGAGGCCGAGCCCAAGACTCGGACCCCCAATCGGTGACCGAGTATCAAACTGCCCCGGCGCCGTTGGAGCCCCAGCGCCCGGCGGTCATTGCCTCGGGCGCCGGCGACCGGAAGCCCATCATCTACCAGCTGAGTGCCTTTCAAGACCCGGCGGCCGCCCTCTTGAAAAAGGTGGATGGGCTTCTGGCGAGGGACCTCGATCGGGCCATTGATCGAGTGCTGCTGGCGATCATGGTTGTGGTGACCGCCGCCGAGGCCGGCCCCGGAACCCCTGGCAGCCCACCGGACATCGATGACGTTGCCCTTGCCCGGGATTTGACCAGCCTGTGCACGGCCATGGCCGACATCCCGGGGCTGGAGCCTCTTCCCCTCGGGCCCGGGGTGCCGGATGCCGTGCGCACGGCAGCCATGGTGGCCCTTCCCCTGGCCGCTGTGCCGCCGGCGCAGGCCGATCTCCTGCAGGCCACCGAGCACATCCTCAAGTGGAGCTTGACATCGGCAAATCGCCAGGCCCAGGCCACCTCGGCCCCCGAGTCCCTGCCCGCCCGGCTAACAGCCTTTTCCCTGGACATGGCCACCGTGTGCTCCTGGCTGGACCTTTATTCGGCGCTCTCTGGCCGGCGGCTGGCGATTCTGCTTCGGCGCAGCACTCCCGGCAGCCGGGTTTGCCAATTCACCGCCCGGTCCCTGGTGGCCGAGCGTCTCTTGGCCGTGCTGAATTCCGGCACCCTGTGAAGACAGCCGCGCCGAAGGGGGCCCACCTGGCTGGCGGAATACACCTATCTCTCGTGCGAGAGAGAGAGAGAGAGAGAAATGTGCGAATATATTTTTGCCTCTCCGAGCACATCGCATGGGGGGCCTCCCGGCCCCGGGTACACGGTTTGGCGGGGGGGGGGGGGGACCACTCACCCCTGGGCAAGCTCCTGCTTGAGGGCCAGCAGAGTGCGATCAATCTGGTCCTCGGTAATGTGGCGATGGGTGACGGCGCGAACCTGATTCGGCCCGAAGGAGCCGACCCAGATGCCGTGCGGGCGGAGACGCGCCACCAGCTGGTCGGCCGGCGACAAGCCACCCGGCGCGCTGGTCGCCCCGGTGCCGGCCTGGCCCGGGCGGACCTGGAACAGCACGATGTTGGTGTCGACGGTGGCCGGATCGCAGGACACCTCCAGCGTGCCGGCCGGGCCGGCAGCCGCACCGATCTCCTGGATGCCGGCGGCCAGGCGCCGAGCATTCAGGTGGTCCACCGCCAGCCGCGGCACCATGGCCCCGAGAGCCACGAGGCCGGCCGCGGCGATGACACCCGACTGGCGGAGGCCGCCGCCGAGGACCTTGCGCATGCGCCGGCTCCGGGCAATCATCTCCGCCGGGCCGGCCAGGATGGAACCCACCGGAGCCGACAGGCCCTTCGACAGGCACACCTGCACGGAGGACACGCCGGCCGTCAGGTCGGCCACCGGCCGGCCGAGAGCCACCGCCGAGTTGAACACCCGCGCGCCGTCCATGTGAATGGGAACCGGCCCGGCCAGGCGCCCGAGAGCCTCGGCATGGTCGATCGGGACCACCCGGCCGCCGCAGCGGTTGTGAGTGTTCTCCAGCGAGATGAGCCCCGTCACCGGGTAGTGCGGGTCCGCCTGGTCGAAGGCCCCCGGGGGGACCGGGAACCGAGCGGGCTGCCAGTCATCCCCGCCCCGGGGGCCGGTCGGGCCAGACCCGTAGACACTGGTGTCACCGGTGCCGAGAGCACTGCCACGCGGCCGGAGGTACGCCTCCACCGTGTCCAGGCAGAGGGTGCCGTCCGGCAAGTTGGGAACCGTGCGGGTGTGGATGCCGGCAACCTGAGCGGTGCCGCCCTGCTCGTAGCTGTGGGCCACGGGCGGGAGAGGCCGCACGACAGGGGGCAGGGGGGGGGG